GCAAAATAATTACTCACAGTAGAAAAAACTTACAATTTTATTTCTTCAAAGCAATTTTAGCCAGGGAAACAATTTAAAACTGAATACAGAGCAATTTATATATATGTGTGTGTGTGTATGTATATATGTGTGTGTGTGTATATATATGTGTATATACATATACATATATATATGTATGTATAGTATGGGAACAAATGATTTTAAATATCAGTTTTAATTACATTTTAAGCAGCAAAGAAATCCTAAAGACAGGTCTAATGTGAATTCAATCCATGCACAGTTCATGTACATGGACCACCTTCATCATTCTAAAGATCCACTTTATTTAAGTGTATTTATTTATTTTGAGAGAAAGAGAGAAATTATGTACACACAAGCAAGGGAGAAGCAGAGAGACAGGGACACAGAGAATCCCAAGCAGGTTCCATGCTGTCAGTGCAGAGCCCAACGTGGGGCTCGATCCCATGAACCATTAGATCATGACCTGAGCTGAAATCGACAGTCGGATGCTCAACTGACTGAGCCACCCAGGTGGCCCTAAAGATCCACTTTAAAGTGATTCTCAAGTGTTTCTCTTGAGCCTTCAGAGTAAACACAGAGAAGCACTGGTTTCTTACCACAGTAAGTGGCTGTCCCCAGAATGTCAGACAATGAATTTTATCATGTTTGCTGACTACTGCCGGCCATAGGCAGCCCAGGCAGTCAATGGGCTGAGGAAAATAAGTGCCTGGTCCTAGGTTTGCTTGAGGACACCCCACAGAAGCCTGTTGTTTTATTTAAGACTCAAAAAAGACAATAGCCATGCATAAGAGGAGGGGAAGGCTCGAGTACAGTGGTCTCAAAACCTTTGTGACGATATAACACTAAGAGGAAAAACATTCTGAACAAATCTACTACACACACATGTGGGTGTATATATGCATGTGTAACTACACAATTTAGTTATTAGTTTCAAATATATACCAACATGTTATACAAGTCATTAAACATTAAATACTGGTTAGGCTTAATCATTTTTTTTTTTTTCTAAAAACAAGAAAACAGAAGTTCTAACATTTTTCTTCCCTCCCTTCAGTGGAATGCCCTGCATGCCCACTACTGTGTGTGCAACATTCTATGTTAGTAGCTCACCTGCTTGAAACGAAAGGGTGCTCCTGTGGTTGACCAGGTCTTGCTTGCTGCATGGGCATGGCAGGCTTGGTGAGGCCCAGCATATCCTACAAAAACCAAAAGGACTCATTTCCCACAACACTAGATTGAATAACCAACTACTTTTTAAGAAATCTCCTTGCTCCTGCTTGTGTACAAACAAGGCACAAACCTGTATTTGCTTTGCGGTTAAATCCTTGGTCCCTCGGAAGACATAACTTTTGGAGATTCCTTCACAGCTGAGCTCGTGAACCTGCACCATCCTCCCAAACGTGATCAAACCCACCAGAGCATCTGGAGGAAGGAGACTCAGGGACATCTGCAGGGATTCTTTGAGTGCTTGAAGGTCATCTTCTTCCAGGCACGTGTCAACCACATAGAGGAAGATCAGAGGGGATGGAGCACCTCGCTTTACGCAAAGAAACACAGTGTGATGATCAGTATACAAACAGACATAACCAGCTCTTTTCAAAGCAGATCAGGTTACTTACAAGTAACAAGTCTCGTCTATATTTACTGTCAGGAAATATGGACATCTAACTAACTTCTACTCACTTCGTTAAATGACAGTTTCTATTAAAACAAACTAAATGTAAAAACTATTTGTATCCAACGATTTATTCTACATATTTTCAAATGTTTTATTCTTAAGAGAGCACAAGTAGGGGAGGGGCAGAGAGAGGGGGACAGAGGATCTGAAGTGGGCCCAACGCGGGGCCCGAATGCACAAACCGTAAGATCATGACCTGAGCCAAAGTCAGACACTTAACCGACTGAGCCACCCAGGTAACCCTCTACATTTTTGAATGCCTTCCATGTGCCAGACACTGTTCCAGGTCCTGGGATATATCAGTGAACCAAAAGAACAAAGATCTTTGCCTACCTTAAGGAGCTGATTTTCTGGATGGAAAGAGTAGGGGGATGCCAGGAGTAGAGGTAGGGGGCAGGTTCCAGTATTACATAAGAGATCAGGGAAGCCTCGATAAGAAAGTAACATTAGAGTAAAAACCCAGAGGAGAGGGAAGGAGTAATACAGACATAGGAGAAAGAGAATTCCAGCCTAGAGCAAAGGCCCACAGGCAGGAGCATTCCTGGCATGTCCAAAGAAAGTCATGAGACCCATATGGCTAAACGAGGACACTAAAACAAGTTGAGGTCTGAGTGATAATACAGAGCTGGTCCACAAAGAGCTTCGAAGACTCTCTCTCACTCAAGGTAAAAGGGAGTCATTTTCACCATTGGAGGTTTCTGAACACAGAAACAACATGACATGTTTTTAAAGAGTTACTCTGGCTTTTGGGTTAAGAATAAACTGTAAGTGGGAAAGGGTGAAATTAGGGAGAAGGGTTAAGAGACTGCCCAGTAATTCAAGCAAGAGGCGATGGCTGGCCCAGGAAAAAAGTGGGGGAGAAAGAAGTGGTTGGACTGTGGATAGATTCTGAATATAGACCCAATGGGATTTCCTCATGGATTGGATATGGAATGTACAAGAAAGACAAATCAAGGACGAACCTAAAGTTTTTAAGCTTGACTACAAGATGGAGTAACCTTAACAGAGCTGGAGAAAGCTATGGGGACAGGCGCTGAACACAACCAGTGACCCCTTTTCTAGCCTTCTATCAAGATTGTAAGTAATGCCAATGAGTGCACACACACCATGACCAAGTGTTTAGGATCCATCTGCCCTCATAGTTTTAAATTGTCCAGGGACACAGAAGATGAAGAGAAACTCAATATTTAACACCATTCATTAAATACGCAAGAGAGAAGTTACCTGTATCACATACTCAATTGTAGAAAACTGGGGCATCAATTCAGCAGGCTGATTTACTTCAGATATGCCTGTATAAGCAGGAGGAAACTGAAGAGAAGGAAACAAAGCAACGTTTTATTAGGGCAAAAGATATTTATGTTATACCTCTTGTTTTCCATATATAAAAAATAGGTAATGTCCATGAGTTAATTCTGAAAGCATAGAATGCAGACCATGTAATTAAAAATACAAAAATCAAAATTTTAAATCGAAACCCTGCCTTATATTTATATCCCATTGTAACTTTTTAAAATGTAGTTTGAGGGTATGTTGTAACTTTGAGATGATTAAAAAATGTGCCAATAAAAAACATTTTTTAAGCACTGCCTTGCAAATTAAGGGCAGAGATTTCAGCTGTCTCATCAATAATTTATGTGGGAGGCCGTGCTTTACCAGCTGGCAGTGCCCTTGCAGCCCCCTGTGTTCTCCAAGGCCAGATCCCAGGAGTGTGACTGAGTTTCTCTCTTCAAATCCCTTTGGAAAGTGACTGGTGAACTAAGCAGGAGATGGGAGTCAGGAATGCTGAATACTGATGTACTGTCCACCAGTAGTTCAAGACATATTGGCCTGGGACTCCAGTCTCCAGGCAAAATGCCTTTGAGAGAAGTGCCACTGGAAATAGAAATGAACCCTCAAGCAACTTGCTAAGGACCACCCTAGAGCTTCCTCTTCATTTTCCCCATCTTTCTTTTCATGATGTCTTACAACATGAAGCTTCCACCACTGCCCTTTGGAGAGTCAAACCTCTGTTTTCAAACTTTGGAAAGACAAACCTTTTGCTCCACATTTCAAAGAGGACAGAGAACTTGGAGAGAGTTCAGAGAAGAGGGATCCAAATGATAGAAGCGATAGAATGTTGATATGTGTAGAGTACGGTTCTACAGAAAAGGAAGGTAAAAGATGGCAGGCATATGAAACAGAAATGGTAAATGAAACTGTAAGGAAATATGTAAGGAAACTGTAAAACCATCTTTCTTCAAAGTTAAAAGTCATAATTTGGGAAACAGACTTAAATTAGGAACATTTTCATTTATACAGGAAAATATCTGATGAACCATGAAAGTTAAAAAATAGTTTTAACCAACAACAAAACAAAAAGAAGCTACAGAACAGCAATTCTTTTTTTTTTTTTCAACGTTTATTTATTTTTGGGACAGAGAGAGACAGAGCATGAACAGGGGAGGGGCAGAGAGAGAGAGGGAGACACAGAATCGGAAACAGGCTTCAGGCTCTGAGCCATCAGCCCAGAGCCCGATGCGGGGCTCGAACTCACGAACCGCGAGATCGTGACCTGGCTGAAGTCGTATGCTTAACCAACTGCGCCACCCAGGCGCCCCAACAGAATAGCAATTCTTATAAACAAGAGGAGCCCTATGCAAATGAGGCATTAAAGAGCTGTAATTGGAACTGAAAAAAAATTTATGTGAATGACTAATTCTTTTACTTGGATTTATTATTTTAGCTGTTATCAATAAAGTAATACATGTTCATTGTAGAAAACCTGGCAAATACAAGAAAATATAAGAAAACAGGAAAAGGAGCACTTGGCTGGCTCAATTGGAAGAGCACGTAATTCCTGATCTTGGGATTAAGAGTTCAAGCCCCAAGTTGGGTGTAGAGATTACTAAAAAAAATAAACTTAAAAAGAAAAAAAAGAAAAGAGGAAGAAAAAACTCTTTATGTTCCTACCAACTAGAGACAGCTAGTCAACATGTAGGCATATTGCCTTCCAGACTTTTTCTACTTCCGCACAGATGAGCTCATCCTGTATATACAATTTTGCAAACTGTTCTTTATGCTTGACATTGTATCACAGGCATTTTGTCTTTAAATTGATGTTTTAGATCAATTAGATTGATGTTTTACCCAATGTTTTTTATTGTGGAAAAACATGTATAACTTTTGCCATGTTAATCTTTGTTCAGTGTACCGTTCAGTGGTCTTAAGTATTCATCACCACCATCCACCTCCAGAACTCAATTTTTTTTCCAATGGATGACAGAAGTTTAATATCAAAGAGCAGAGATTTACAAACACAGTGACTGAAATTGTATATTTATTTTCACATGAGAGTACCTTCCTGTCATCTACCTAGTATTACTTCTTTTTCAGTGTAACTTAACTCTAAAAATCATTCACTATCATGTGTCCTGAACCTGTGAGGGTGTGATAAGCCCAAGTGAAAATCTGAAAATTGTGTTCAATGAAAATTTCCTTTTAGAGAACAGAATACCATTTAAACAAACAAACAAACAAACAAACAAAAACAAAATAACGACAGATGACACAAACATATGGGAAGATGTACAATCTTCATGAATGGGAAGAATTAGTATTAATAAAATATATATACTACCAGAGGAACATAGAGATACAATGGACTCCCTATCAAAATGCTAACAGCATTTTTCACAAAAGTTGAATGAAGAATCCTAGTATTTGAATGGAACCACAAACAAATCCAAATAGAAAGCAATTTTGAAAAGAAAAAAAAGAAAACAGAACAAAGCTGGTGGCATCATAATTTCAGATTTCAAGGTATACTACAAAGAAAAAATATAAAACATCATGGTATTGGCATAGTTACATAGATCAATGAAACTGAATAGAGACCCACACTTACATGGTCAATATATTTACACCATTAGAAAATTAAACAGGTGTATGCAAAAGAAAGAACTTGGATCATTTCTTAATGATATATAAAAATAAAAGCAAACTGTATTAAAGACCTAAATGTGAGACCTGAAAACCATATATTTATTTTTTTATTTTTTATTTAATTTCCAGTTAGTTTACATACAGTGAAATATAATTTCATATACATCATATAGTGATTCGACATTTCCATACAGCACACAGTAATCATTACAAGTTCACTCCTTAATCCCCATCACCTTTTTACTACATTCCGCACTAACCTCCTTCTTGGTAACGATCAATTTGTTATCAATACTTAAGTGTCTGTGTTTTGATTTGCCTCTTTCTCTTTTTTGTCATTTTCCTCATTGGTTTTCTTTCTTAAACTCCACGTATGAGTGAAATCACATGATATTTGTCTCTTTCTCCCTGACTTATTTCACTGCCTCATACCCTCTAGCTCAGTCACTTGACTTTGCTAATAGCAAGAATCCGTTGTTGTTGTTTTTGTTTTGTTTTGTTTTTTTGGCATAGTAATATTCCATTATATTATATATATATATATATATATATATCCATTTCTTTGTCCATTCATTGGTCAATGGACACTTAAGCTGCTTGGAAATTTGGCTACTGTAAATAATGCAGCTATAAATATCTGGGTGCATGTATTCCTCTGAAATACTATTTTTGTGTCCTTTGGGTAAATACCTAGTAATACAATCACTGAGTCTTAGGGTACTAATATTTTTAAGTTTTTGAAGAAACTCCATACTGTTTCCCAGAGTGGCTGTACCAGTTTGCATTCCCAAGAACTCAATTTTTTTATCTTGCAAAACTGAAACTCTGAACTTATAAACATTTCCTCATTATCTCCTCCCCTGGATGTCCTGATATTAATCCCTTACAAGATTTATGATTAGCAAATATTTTGTGGACTACATTTTTACTCTGCTGACATTGTCTTTTGATGCCTTAGAATTTTCACTATAACTGTATTAAACATGGACCTCGGGGCGCCTGGGTGGCGCAGTCGGTTAAGCGTCCGACTTCAGCCAGGTCACGATCTCGCGGGCCGTGAGTTCGAGCCCCGCGTCAGGCTCTGGGCTGATGGCTCGGAGCCTGGAGCCTGTTTCCGATTCTGTGTCTCCCTCTCTCTCTGCCCCTCCCCCGTTCATGCTCTGTCTCTCTCTGTCCCCCCCAAAAAAATAAATAAACGTTGAAAAAAAATTAAAAAAAAACAAACAAACATGGACCTCAATTCTGAATGCCCTTAAGAGTTGCACATACTCCTGAATCTCTCATGGAGGTGAATTTTGAATGGTACCTGCTCATAATTCCCAAGCCTATACTTAGTACACTGATTGGTCTATTTATCACTGGACTTACTGTGAGATGTATCAAAGAATGAGATTATCTGCAATTATGATTAAATATGTGAATAAATAAATGCATGTTATTAATATCTTATATGCTATACTGGAAATGATTAAATTTTTCTAACAGCTTTATTGAGATATATATATCATAAAATTCACTCTTTTAAATGTATAATTTGATGATGTTTTAAAAACATTTATTTAGATAGAGAGTGTGTGCATGAGCAGGGGAGGGGCAGACAGAGAGGGAGAGACAGAATCCCAAGCAGGCTCCACGCTGTCAGCACAGAGCCTGATGTGGGACTCGAACTCACGAACCATGAGATCACAACCTGAGCTGAGATCAAGAGTTGGACATTTAATCGACAGCCACCAGGTGCCCCAGTAGTTTTAAAATTTTTAAATCAAGAAATGCTCAACATTGGTACTTGGACCCTGAAAGTTATAAAGATCAAAAAGTGAAAATTCAGTAATGTACACACTATGCAATTAGAATAAACTGAAGTCAAATGAAATATACACGACATATCTGTTTTCTTAGGATAACATATTCACTGCCTACAGAGGACATCAAAAATGGGAATTTTATGTCCCCTCCAGAGCAAATGATAAAAACCCACATAATGAAACTGAGTCATCGTTCAACAGAAAAATCACGTATGTTCAGTGTTCAATTATGCTTAACAAAAGCTATTGCCTTCAGGTCAGCAGAAATTGATGACTACCCAGACAGACACAAATTCAACCTTACTTAATTTTTTTCAGAGTAATTCAACTAAAATGAAACACAGAAAAACACTTAAAAAAAATTCACATACCTGATTTCTTTGGAAACAGAAATTACAGGCCCAAAGTTTTGCTCGATAATCAACCTGACTGTGAGAAAGATAAATATTATAGCTAGGTACCATTTTCATTTGTAATGTGGAAAGCATTCAAATGTAATCTTTAAGTTTAGTAAGTCTCATAGATATGTTTCAGATATCATTCTGAGCATGAATGGATGGAGTGATGTAAAATGTCTACTGCAGTTAAGAGTTATGGCTGTTAAATACACCAAAAATTTCCTTCAAACAGCAGCACTGAAGAATTAGTAAATCTTTTTTTCTCTTTTCTAATTCCCTTGACAATATTTAAAATGTCATGATTTTATATAAGTTACAGGTTATTCCCTTTTGTCCTGTTCTTAACATAATCTGTGTGATTTTTCTAGCACTTTCATTGTTAAGATATGTGAAACCACTAAATGTCAATACTAAATTTCACACATGGAAACACTTGCCTGACTTTCACCTCACCTACCTCACTTGAAGAAAGGTTGGGAGGCATGCTTCCTAGAACTGGTTAAAGATAATGCTTCAATTAGTTTTTTCTCCCTTTCTGCACTTAGAAAATTAATAAGCAACGGCTACCTCTTTGAAAGAAGAGTAACAGCATCTTATGAATGGGTGTAATAAGTAAAAGTAAGGGGAATGAAGTAAAAAATGTTCCTTCATATGAGTCTTGTTTTTCCCTCATATAAAAGTCTTACCTTTTAGACAATATTTCTGATACTCTTCACCTGTTTAAAGATTCTTTCAAATAATGCCCACATTTCAGGAAAATATCATAGGTCATGATCTCAAGTACAAAACATTACACTTAACCATCACTAAGAGTTATAATTTCTTCCACCTATTACTTCCTGCCATACAGCATCACCATACCAGGTAAGTATGAGAAAACCGTCAAAAGCTTTCTGATTTTTTTGGGAAAATGCTTCGAAAGGTACCAATATAATCTATGGTTAAACCAAAAACAAATTGAAATAAGAAAAAAAAGTGAATTCCAATCCTTTCCCTTGACTTCTACCTCATTCCTGTAAGTTCCAATTTTATCTCAAATATTAGGCCAGTAAGACTCAGACTTCTACAAGCATTCTTTTTTAAATATATATATATATATGTATATATATGTATATATATACATATATATATTTTTTAATTGTATGTAAATCCTAGTTAACATATAGTATAAGAATGGTTTCAGTAGTAGAATTTAGTGATTCATCACTTACATATAAATAACACCCAGTGCCCATCACGAGTGCCCTCCTAAATGCCCATCCCTATTTAGCCCATCCCCCCACCCTAGACTTCTACAAGCATTCATCACCTCAGAATCTCACCATGTATTACTAATCCCAAATTTGATGATTTGCCCAAACTGAATCACTTTTATGAGAATCACATAAAAATCCTAATATACTGCATTCTTCCTTTTTACTAGTTTTAAAAAGAATTCATACCAAAGTGGATTGAGAATGGCTTTGCAAGTTGGCCGGCTGCAGAGCACAGGTTCATATTGTACCGGAGGCAGGTCTGGACGTTCTTTCAAAGGAGTGAGGAGACAAGCCAGGGGAACAACCATTCTTGTAGCCTCGAGGCGGCTGGAAGGCCACACATTCCAACTAAAGCGCACACCATCTCGTTCTTCATTCTGCTGAATGAACTCCAAATATGTTGCCATAGTCTAAAAAGAAACTATAGATGAGGCTTTTTAATTTTATGTGAATTTCTCAACTAAACTTCAAAAAAGAAGATGGTCACCCAACAGTGTTCTTTAAACACTTAGTCTGGGTGACTCAGTCAGCTAAGCGGCCAACTTCGGCTCAGGTCATGATCTCACGGTTTGTGAGCTGCAGCCCCGCATTGGGCTCTGTGCTAACAGCTTGGAGCCTGGAGGCTGCTTCAGATTCTGTGTCTCCCTCTCTGTTCCTCCCCTGCTCGCACTGTCTCTCTCTCAAAAATAAATAAAGATTTAAAAAAAATTAAACACTTAGTCTAGAAGAACTGGTCACTGGAGGATGACAACATCTCCCTTCCCTTTGACTCCCAAAGCCAATTAACTTCACAGTTCTCTTTGCCTACTATTCCTTTCTCAACTCTCCTCTCTAGCACTTAAATAAATGGAAAGATGTGGGGGGTTTACAATCATTTGATCATTTCCAAGCTGCAAGTAGTTGAATAATACTAATGTAAACCTCCTCATAGATCATACATTTCAACCAAGCCAGTTCTAATCCCCCTTCCTCAAGAGTCAGTCTCAAGCCCTGTTTCAGCATCCACCTACCTTCCTCCCTCATCCCCTCCCTTCCTTGCTTTATTTATTAAAGCAAACACTGCATTAAATTCTACTTTCCAAGTGATCTTGTTTTTGTGCCCTTTCCCCTCCTCTGTTACCTGGGGAGACAAGAACTGGATGCTGACGTTGTGAGTCCAATTTGTAATGAGAACCACCACCAGTTCCTAGCAAAAATATTTCTACTTGGAATCACCAAAATTATAATGCTAAATTTGCTATCGTGCTGGGCGACTCCTTCACCAGGACCTTTTCACTAGGGTTGCTTATGTTCATGCCTCGAAAAATTCTGGTTGATAAAATAACCATTTAGACTAAGCTTTTCAAACCCAGACAATGCCAACTCCATTGAGTGTTTCATACACCTATTTGCATTCTAAAGTCTAGGCTAAGGCTAACACATATCTCAGCCACCTAGGGTTCACGGGAACAAGACCCTCAAGAAAAAAGGAAAAACAGGCAAATTAAAGAATCTATGTTATTAGTGGCCTCTAGTGCTCACTTCCTGAGGTGCTGAATAATAAGTGTCTCCAATAATAAGTGTTATTATGAGAAGTGCCATACTGTAAATAATACGGACTAAGAGAATGATTTTTTGAGGGTGGGGGGCAAAGGGTGGGAGAGAGAGAGAATCTTTTTTTTTAATGTTTATTACTTATTTTAGAGAGAGAGACTGAGAGAGCTCCTGCAGGAGAAGGGCAGAGAGAGAGGGAGACAGAGAATCCAAAGGGGGCTCTGCACTGACAGCAGAGAGCCCAATGCAGGGGGCTTGAACTCACAAACCAGGAGATCATTAACCCGAGCCAAAGTCTGATGCTTAACCAATTAAGCCACCCAGGTGCCGCAAGAGAGAGAGAATCTTAGGCAGGCTCCATGACACGGGCTCAATCTCACAACTGTGAGGCCACAACCTGAGCTGAAATCAAGAGTTTAATGCTTAACCGACGTAGCCACCCAGGGAATGATTTTATGCGGCTAGAAAAGCAAATGAAGGAATTAGCCCACTACACGCAACCCAGACCACAAAAATTCTAAATGTTTGCTCCAACTGACACTCTAAGGCATCAACTTGTTATTTCTGACAAAGGCGGGAAACTGAAGCACCCTTTACATAGGAGGCCCTTCTGCAGCTACGAAGTGGCAAAGGGATAACTCAGGTGGGAATAAACGCAAGTTCTAATATCACAATTCTCAACAAGTACCTCAGCAGGTTTCATTCACTGACTGGTACCCACTCAAAACATTAATGAAAGATACTGGCTCCATCCAATGTCCCCAAGCAGCGACATATTAAAACCTGCTCTTTCCGTTTCCCACTGTCTCTTCCTGTCGCCTCTTCTAGAACATGGATTCTTAAATCTGGGCACAAAACCAAAGGGGCACTTCAGAGCGTCAATAAATCTTCTGAAGCTGTATGGAAAATTGTGTGCATGAGCGAATGTACATTTTTCTAGGGCGGTCGATCTTTGACTCACATCATATTCTCACAGGGAAGGAGTTTCTGAAGAGGCTAATAGATGAATGAATGAGTTAATGAATGAATGAAAAGAACTTTAAAGGTTCTGTAGGAGTGTCTGCCAAAAATACACACACGCCAAAAACTGAACCGGTCATTCCATCAAATCATAACTTCTCAGGACACGGTAGCCAAGTTTAAGCACAGTTTAATGCTTCAAGCGTAGTCCGTAGCCCCGGATCCTAGTTCCAGCTGTCACGAGGCAGAAGTCATTCATCCCATTTCAGGTTACTCAACTCCAAAAAGAAACCTGAATCCTTCCGCACCCCGCGATTCCTAGGGTTCCCGAGCCAGAAGCCGGCCGGCCGCACCGCCTGACGAGGAACGCGTCACTCTTCAGCAGACCCCTGGGTCACTGAGTCCCTAAATTCCTCTGCCCGCCAAGTCGCCGAGAAGAGGCTTCGCCCCAGGAGCAACCCATTCGGTCCCTACAGAGACTCCAGTCCGTGCCCTCGGCTCCCCATCACCTGCGCGCCCACTCACCTGGCAGGAGCAGTTCACCTGGCCGCGTCCGCACCCACAGCTGCTAGGGCCCCGCTCCGGCTCCCACCGCCAAGTCCAGCTCAGCTCTCAGAC